CTACATGTCAGATTCGATGTTGCCACTTAACTGTCATAAAATCTATGAAACGATATCGATTTTTATTCGATTAATAATATGAAAAGAATAATCTTTGACGCGTTTTAAGTTCTGCACGCTTTTTTAAAATATAATTTCCTTTATTTATTGAAATTCTATTTCAAATGTATTTTTAGGAACAGTTAGCTTGTGCTGTATTGTTTTGTTATGCTTTAGAGAACTCGTGGTAAATCGGCTAGAAATTAACTTCTTGAATTATCATAACATGATTCCATTTTAAATGTTATGTTAAAAACAGATAAGAATAACAGTTAACTTGTGCAGTAGCGTTTTGTTATACTCTAAAGAATTCTTGGTAAATCAGCTAGTAATTCGCTTGTTTAATTATCATAACTATAAATGTGAAGGTTGTCAATGAATTCAACCGAGCCTATAACAACGGTTGTTTTAGTTTTTAACGGTTGACTACCGCTTTTGATGACTTGAAATGGATAAAAACCCATTTCGTGCAATAAGTTATTTCTCTTTGGTAACGAATAAACCACAGAAACCCCTATAATGTATAATAATCCTTTTTTTAGACACAAGTAGCACATTTTAAATAACCGCAAAAACAACTTTGTTATTTATACAAACACTATGAAAAACAAAATAATTTGTTGCTGGCGATAATGATAGTGGTATTTGGACTCCATTTAAAATATATGCTTGTTACTACAGAACTCTTCATGGGCCTGCGAGTCCGACTCGCACTGAACCACTTTTTTTCAACTTTGTTTTATTTTAAGGGGAAATATAACCTCAAATGGCTTAGCAAGATCCTCCGTTATGCCTTAAAGAAATTACCTAAACTATCAGCGCGTAAGCTTGGTTCCTGTCGCTCCGCAGGAACCAAGCTTACGCGCCGATAGTTTAGGTAATTTCTTTTTACAGTGAAAATAATATTTTAAAAAAAGTAAATAACATAAGCACTGCTTTATGGTTAGTTCAGTTAGTATGCAAAGTTTCATGATCTTATTTAAAGTATTTTATGAATAACAGCGGTTTATTGTTCAGTTTGGAGGTAACTTTGGATTTTTTTTCTATCGAGAAAATTTTACGGAATCGTGTTTTCGTCTAACATAAACCTTAACATTAATCCTCAACTTTACCATATATTTATTTCAAAATTAATGCTGCAATACTTTCGGCATAACGGAGGATCTTGCTAAGCCATTTGAGGTTATATTTCCCCTTAATAAATAGTTTTTTCGTTTAAGCGGAGCTCTTTTACTTTAGATTTATTACCTCTTTATCTATAATAATCAATCTGAGTAAGTAAAGTGTGTAAATACGATTCTTAAATTGTAAAAATAATAATTGGATTTGAACATCTTAGGTAGGTATTTAGTTTTATTAATTTAGAAAATATTAATCTCACAATTATTTATTGTAATAACATAAATGTATCACACAGCTAACGCCCTCATTAGCAATGTAAAAGTAAAATAAAGTTACAGCCTATATACGTCCCACTGCTGGGCTCAGGCCTCCCCCTCATTTCTGAGAGGGTTTAGGGCAAGGAAGTGTCCGCCGCGCTGCCCAAATGCGTGTTGACGAACTTCACATGTCTTCGAATTATTATTTTTTCTCTTATTCCTCAGACATGCAGGTTTCCTCACGATGTTTTCCTTCACCGCCGAGCACACGGTAAATCAGCACTTAAAATTGCAATTAACAATTTCATTGGTGCCGGCGGGATCGAACCCGGGTCACTCGCGTTCTGTTACATTTACAGCGAGCGTTAACCACTGAGCTACCACGGCTCAGTCTCATAACAATATAGTGGTGAAAGAATTCTCAAAGTTGGTCAAGTACTTTACGAGTTTAGCGAAAAAAATATTCTTTGATAGTAGCGCCCTCAATAATAAAATTCATTTTACGTTTTTAAGCACCATAGCAAAAAACGATTCAACATAGCCCAACCCGCACACACAGTAAAAACATAACAATCCTTTTTCGTCTGTAGTCGGATAAACAACTGGTTAATAACGGTTGCGTATCGGCTGCTTTGGATAAATATGCATTGTCAACGGTTATTTTAAACCTATATCATAACATCGTAATAATTATCGAAAAATTATATAAGCATTGTAATAATGACACCATAAGTAATCGATGGAAAAGGGGAATCGATTTTTTTAATGAGAATTGGATTGGCAACACTTTTTATTTTATTCACAAACTAATGAATTAATGGGTGCGTTTGGCAGAAAAAAGCGCTTGCAAGCGCTTGTAAGCAAAATGGCGATCGTAAGCGGTAAGCGCTGTTAAATCGTAAATAGCTATTTTCCTCCAGGACACGATGTTAGTTTTAACCGGGGGAATCTAACCTAATTTAAATATATGTTTGTAAAGTATTCATATTAAAAAATTACCATGATCATGAGTTTTTAATAGCATGTATATGTTTATTCATGTCATATATTACTTAAAACTAATATTGCACAAAACAACTTATAAACTCTACTTCAAAACAAACAAATTAAATAAGCAAAATGGCGGATTGTGTCAGCGCTACTGAAGTAGCAATCGTGTCCTGGCCGAAAACTATTTTAGCGCTTATAAGCGCTTGCTAGCGCTTTTTTCTGCCAAACGCACCCAATGATTTACCTAATTTTAATCTTATCTTTTCGGTACTTTTAATTTGTGCGAAAATATTCCCATTGTTTTAGGATAAATGAATACCGCGATTAATAATCATAAATAAAGATATATTTTTTTAACAAATGCACATTGTTGGGCGTTCCATGGCCGAAAATGGGCGATCCCCTTTGATGACTGTATGAAATATACAAGGAGAAAAAAATTAGCCCTTAACCTTTTGAGCGCCACGCCAAAAACTCACTGCCGTGTCCTGTACGCCAAAGCGAAAAGTAAACAAAAATACCTACGAAAAAAACAGTGCTGCCAAGAGTTGATATATCGATAACCCAAAATAACTTGTTTTTGTTGGTTTTTTATACAATAAATGAGTCTTTATAATCGGGTATGTTTTATTTAATCTTGTGCTGTCTTCCACTCTTTTTATATATGTACTTTGTACATAAATAAAAAACAAACAATAACAATAAAATAGTAGTAAACCACAACACTACTCTCCGTCGTGATGACGTCACTGTCACGACTGGACGACAACGGCGTAGCTGACCTTTCTTTTTGAAAATTTCTTACAGATGTAGCCGTGTCGCACGTTGTGTATCGATTTCAAAATCGATGTAACCAAAATATACAGACATCTATTAAAAATATTTTATGGCAAGGCGTAGGCCAAGTGAATCACAGAAGAAAAGTCTTACGCTCTTATGATAAAGGGGGTTTCATATGATACTGATGTTGCTAAATGATTTTAAGATTGAGAAAGAAAATCGCACAACACAAAATGAAAATTGCTCTTCATACCTTAAGTAAAGAAAACACATTTATTATTTGTAATTTTATATTATTAAAATAGAAAAGGTACGTAATTATTCACTAATCAACAACTGTATATAGGTAATTATTCGCACTAGAAAAATCAGTCTTATAATATTAAAATCTTGGTCATGGAATAAAAAAATCAGTACTTATTACAGAAATCAACAAAGGGTACATAATTATTCAACAATTGTAAATAATTATTTGCACTAGGTCTAGTCATAAAATATTAAAATCTTGGTCTTTAACTCAATCAGTACTTAATATAGAAAACAACAATTAAAAATAATTAATAAATTATAGGTAATATTAGTCTTAAAATAATAATAATCTTATGGAATAATAAAACATAAATGTTTAGCTGGCCAAAGCAAATTTTCTAACGTGGTAGAGCCATGCTGCAGTTATATTACGGGAGTTAGTAGTTGTAGCACGAATGGGTCGGCTCAACCGGGGAAGAACCACGCTCTCACGGAATATCGGCATCAAATAGTAGCTTAATGCTGCTGTGTTTCGTATGGTAAGTGTAGAGAACCGGAGACCCTCTTTACTGGAAACGAGGCATTCCATCTAAGTCCTCACGGGTGAGAGCGCATCTGCATTTTGATTCGTAATCGAGGATAGATGTAAATGTCTATGGGCCACAGCAACCACTTACCATCAGGTGGACTGTGTGCTCGTTTATTACCCTATGCTATAAAAAAGAAATTAACCGTAAAAAGACTATAAAGTGTATTCCTACCTCATTGAGGTAGAGTTCATTGAAAACGAAAAACTTTGGTTTCACGATAATTTTAAATTTCCGAAAATTCATCATCGTCGACGCTTTCCAAAATCCGAATGAGTTCTGAGGAATCGTTCATGTTGCACTGCACTAATTTTCCCGCTAATCGCTTATGACGTCATCAGTGTGTCGTCTATACTTGACCACGGCGCCCAGTGAACTGATTTTCGATGTCGCGCTAAGGATGCGCCAGAGTTGAGATTTAGATTTATTATGCGAAGATAATTTGTTAATTTTTTTTTAAATTCATGTAGCTAATTATAGTTTTATATTTCTAACCTTTTGTTTTATTTAAATATCAATAATAATAGAAAAAAATAACACGTTTGAGCTTAATTTTGAATAGTTTTCAATAAATTTATGGCTAACGCATTACAACACTAGCGGTCTAACATAGACGACTTTGGCGTGCTGGACATAGTATTTGCTTAGATAAAAATACATTTTTTTTAGTTCAATGTTTCTTAGTACTTGTGGCTCTAGAAGACTTGTTTTTTATACTCACATGTTGCTGGGTTATTCTTTTTTGAGGGGTGTAGAATTAAAATACCAGTAATAATTTTCCAATGTCTATATTTCATATTTTTGTGGGCCGGGTTTTTTGTCATCTATAGACGTCGTTGGCGCTCAGAGCACACGGGTGCTGGTCACGTATAGACGACTTTGGCGCTCAAAAGGTTAACGAGTTTCTTGCCGGTTCTTCTCATTACAAGGTCTCCCGCTTAGGATTTGAGAACCGATGGCGTAGCTTCTTTGACATTCACAAGTGCTTGTAACAGCCTAGATTAAAATATTTTTAGGCATAAAATTAGTTCTGTTTTATTTTTTCACCTACTTATCGTTATCCTACCTACCTAGATGTTCATAAAATGGCAACAAATATTTACTTAATCCTTACCTATGACATTGCAGATATTTTGTCACATACAGAGAAAATAATAACTTCTATGATTTTAAATACTTAACAGTATCTTTATATTATATCGAATTATGGCCATGATAATCAACTATCAGTAACAATAAAGTTCTTATTTTAGCTTTCTTAATCTGAAAGTACAAATAGTCTCAAAAATAGTAAAAAGAAACAATAGTATTCTAAAATAAATTTATTTAAAACCTAACGCCTATTTTGCCTTAAAAACTCTAAATAATCTCGCCCTATGTCACGCAACTCTTCCAAGGCAGCCCTGATGCCTGCGAGCTCGATGTTCCTCACTGTCTCTCTCTCTGCACGTCCATCTTCATACTGGTACAATCTGTGCAGATTGTGAGGCTGCAAAACAACATTCCAATATGTTACATTGCAGTAAATACTTAATCAATAAGTATATTTTTTGTGACAAAGAATATTTTTTCTTGTAATTTTAATCTCGACTGTAGTTTAGTGGTAAGACCTTCATGTATCAAATACATCCATACATACCTTGTATATCAATTTCGATCGAAATTTCGTTTTTCGTTGAATTAGAGTAGACCTGCTGGCTTTCTTTGCTTGGGTCGGCGTACTCCTCAACTTCTACATGCAAGTCCAGGCTCTGCTGCTGCAGTTGGCTTCCTTGACTGTAGGTTGATGATCTGGATTCATTCGTCTGAAATGAATATAAAAGATTGAATGCTTAATGTTTAAGTGAAGTATTAATTTTTAATGTCTACCACAATACAAATTGTATTGTATTTTTACCTGATGGGTTAAAAAAAGTAGCATACTCACATAGAAAAATAATTTTGTAAATAAAAATCATATATATAGATAAATATTTGAACATATCAAAGTTTAGAAATAGGGAAACCAAAGAATGATGAGGTACTTACTTCAGTGAAAGCTGGCACTCTGGCTCCAATTTGGCGGTCACCGAACCCATCTCCCATTATGGATAAGACTTTTAATTCCGAATGGGAGAGTTGGGGTGCCACCGATGGACCACCTCCAGTCATTGAAGCCGACCTCCGGGAATCAGCAGCGGCTTTTTTGGCCAGATGTTTTCTATCAAACCATACCTATCCAAAATAAAAGTAAATATTAAATCTTTGTCACTCACTTTTCACTGATAAATAGCTTAAGCATTTAATTATATTACTACGAATTACCTTTTGCCACTGCTGAACTTCTTTGTGCAACCGCCCATGGAATTGAGCATATTGCACAATTCATCCCACAGCCTCTTCGCCTGGACTTTTCCTTCTAGACTCCTCAATCTCCCGCGAGCAAGATCCCTATGCTCGTCCAGGAAATTGAGGAGTGCATCAATTTGTTCAGGAGTAGCCGAACCCGTATGTGGAGCCATTATTTTACACTGAAAGATGAGATGAAAATAAATTATAGGTACCTATTATTACAAAAAAATATGTTATGGAAGTATTATAAGTGCAAAACAATTAACATTACTTACACTCTTTCTGAATATAAAACCAAATTAAACCAAATAGAAGTCTTTGTGGACCAAAGGACGCCCATATGAAGACTGCGACTTGAAATTGAAACTTTGTCAGAGAATGTGTATCGCGTTTGCAAAGTAGGCAAAGAAAAAAAACAAAACATATTAATAACTCTTCACTTGAGCACACAGGAAATAATCTCTACCTACATCTTACACTTGAGCTTGAGAAACAAACTTAAAACTATTCAAACTTTCAAAGAATGCAAACAAAAAATCCACAAGTGATGACTGACAGCATTGTGATAATACGGATAAGTTTGGTTGTTATACAATACTATAAACACCGTTTGTTATTATTGTACACCTTAACTTAGTTGGTTAACGGTCATTGAAAGGGTTATTTTAGTGTCACTGTGATTTTCTTCGAAAACTTGTATATTTATTGCGTATGTAAGATTTTCTGGAATAATATGCATAAAAAAACCACAATTATTTTAATAAATTCGTAAAATACATAACATTGTTCGTTCCATTCGTTCACGAAAATTGTCTATGGAATCGAACTTTGCGTGCGCGTCCGAAAATGATATAGAGTAGGGTCAGACACGAAACTTCGTTTAAATTTCGTTCGATAACGAAATTTCGTTTCGGAGAAAGAGAGTAGGCCTTCTGTTATTTTTGTCTCCTGCGAAAAAAACAGACTATAGGAATCTATCGAATACCTACACAAACAAAATATTACCTACTACAAATAAAATATTACAAAGCGAAATAACTAATAAGAGTGGCAACGTCGCACCATACAAAGGAATTGCGTTAAGCAGGAGAATGAATTAAAAACTATGTATATTACGGGGATTCTGGATAATTTGTAATATGGAAGGGACTCCTGATTGGTTTCCCTCCGTCTGTCAATATACGAATAATTGTATATCGACATATGGTAAATTTTCAAGGAAATGACTTAAACACTATCTTTGAAATTATTTAATGAAACAATATTCGCTGTCATAATGTATAAAAATTGCCTACAAGTGGTGGACGCTACAATAATGCGAAATGAAAGGACATAGAATCAATATTGTGATATATATATATATATATTATTTCTCGGCAAAATAGGTTGTGTAGACGAAGTAAAAATTAAAATTGTTTTGATGATAATAAGCCAATAGTTTACCTCCTATATAGTCTTTCTCATCACGAACGTCAGAAAGTTTGAGAAATCGTAGATAAATTATTGCTAATTGATATTATTTTTGAATCAAATTCTGATTATGCCAGTCCAATGTTAATGGTTAAAAAGAAAACCGGTGAATAAAGACTTTGTGTAGATGTTAGTGTGTTAAATATTAAAATTATTAAAGACCGTTTTCCTCTTCCCCTTACTGAAATTAAATAATTAACCTAAAAGTGTTGATGCATAGAGCACAAATACCGAGCTGTCCACGGAGTCAGATGACAACCCAAGCATTAACGTTTATAATATAGAAATGGAAAATTGGCTTTTAACATTACAAATAGCAGTCACAGATATATCCTGTATTTTAAAACTTCTTGCACCTGGAGATGACCAGTAATATAAAGATATTCGACAAAATTATGGAATTAAAAATCATATTGTATTTTGAAAAGTAAATGATAAACTATGTTTATTTGTTCCACGGAATGCGCGTTGGCAAATATGTCGGGCCAATCACGATGGTATTGGTCATTTGGGTTCCCTAAACTTCGAAAGTTTGCAATATATATACAACATGTAACATAATTAACGCACTTTGAGAAAGTAGTCTAATTGCTGTCCGTTTCTTGAACAGAGCATTCACTATAGTAACGTTTTCTCTTAATATTTTGTAAAAGGTTAATTACACCTGATTGAAATTCAAGTGTTTGATCATCGTTGAGTGAAGATAGTGATGGAAGAAGACTCCTAAAAAAAGTCAAATTCCGGTCCTCTTGCACAACATTTGATTTTCTTTTAAGATGATGGTCAATAAAAGACATCATTTTTATATCCATGGCGTTCAATTTTTGCATTGGTACCTCAGACCTCCTTTTATTTTGAATACAAACATCAAAATTTTCTTGTGTATCACTATCACTTACGATTTCTTCATTTTGATTATTACTAAAAGTTTCATTGTCAACTTCTTCTTTAACTTTATCTTTTTCTGTATCATCGAATGTACGTAAGTAAACTTCTTTAATACTTTCCCTTATTAAAGCAGGGTTTACAACTTTTTTTAAAAATAACATTTGATTGTGGTAAACATATCTTTTTACAAATTTTGCAGTGGATACAGATTCCTTCATACTGCTTCTCAACCAGCTATCTCTTGTTTGATTCCATTTATTAACTACTCCTTTAACTGAAAAATAATATTTTACAAATAATTTCAACAAATCCATTATTCATTGCGCATTTGATTATTGTTAGATATTATAATAAAGGATGGTTTTTAATCATCAGATAAAAGTTAGCCTTAGAACCTTAATATAAATTATAACCTAACTGTATATAAAAGTGAAACAATTGAACTATTTTAATCAAAGAACTGTAATTTCTACTTTGTCTATGTTTATTTCAATATAATAATCCTATAAATAACTATTATCTGATGATTGAGTAATTAGCCTTATAATAAATATAAAAAATAAAAAATAAAAACTCTTATGGAGTTGACAACAAGAATTTATAATAAAAATCAATTAGTGCACATGTAGGGACTCCTCTTTGTTTCCCCGGATCTGGTGCAACAAGAAAGAAGTAAGCCCATGTTTTTGCATTAATTTTATGTGTTTACCAGTATATAAAAAGATTTCTAACATGTTTTATTGAAATATATAATATATACATTTATCGATACCCAAAATATTAAAAATCAGATGCCAAGTGCTAAACCACTTTGTAACCGTGGCCGCAAAGACAAATATTCTTTATATGGAAGGCTTATGTTCAGCAGTAGACTTTAAATAGATTGCAATAAATGACGATAATGTTTATGTGAATAGTATTTTTTATTTAATAAATACTTAAAAAAAACTTTTTTATTTATTAAATTAGCATACAGTTACGAATCAAACAGGTGCCTAATCCTGGGTAATGTGCCTCTATCGGTGCATGACCTGCAGTAACATAAGCCCTGCAAAACTGCAACTCTTACAAGAGTGAAGAGGAACTAGAGTAGCTCTTACTCCACCACTCACTGCTCCCCTGTGTAGAAACGGACTCCCCACAGACAGACTCCCTACAGACTTACAGATACATCCTTAGCTGATAATTTCCTTGATTACTCAGGAATATCTCCAAGGAATTTATATAAAAGAATTATTTCAAGAAAGCTAATTTTTTTTCTTGATTAAATAACATAATAAAAAATATTTTTTTTTACAAAATTGTCTGAAAACATACCAAACGCTTGCCTTTCCTTTTCTTCCATGTCTTCAAAATCTTCTTTTAAGTTGATACAAATGTCGTGCCAAGCAGCAGCTCTCAAATTTCTGTCTCTATATGTTATCAAGGTTTTATCCCATATTACAGGTCTATCCTCAACTAGTTTTATTAAATATTCTGTGTCAAAAGTCTTTGCCATAATGCTATACAACGCGCTCTGGGGTATCTGCTAGTTATCCGAACCTTCTGTTCGACTTCATATCAAACCAACTGTAGCTTGCAACGAAAAAGCTCTACCTCCCTGCTTATATTTCTAACTCACAAAAAACCGTGTATATTACTCAGCCCAACCCATAATATGTACCGCAAGGGTAAGAGCAGATTTGTAAGCGAAATTAGATAGGATCAGTCTTTGCTGGAGGAAAATAACCGGTAAGCACGATACACGTATGACTGCTCTCATTAAATTATGCGCTTTTAAACGGGCCGGGTCCTGCATAGAAAAGGTATTCTACATAATTATATAGTTATTTATGCATTTTAACTGTACACTGTAAACAATACTAGCGGCGCCGCTGAGACGGTCGCACTTAGCTTGCTACATAGATATTTATCTATGATCGCACTCAAAGAAATCCTTGAACTCGGCACAAAATCCCACTTTTCCACTTTAAGTAATTAAAAAACTAACTCATAAACGAATTAACGTATTGTAGTGATAATCATATGCTAGGTATATAATATATATAGGGTATGTTCCGAAATACAACGCAGTGTACTGTCCAATGCAAATGACGTCATGAATTGTTGCTCTATTCGTTCCAAAACATTGGACAGTATATGACGTCATACTTTTGCGCTATTTGGAAAAGTGTTGGCGATTATTTTGTCATTTTGTGCTCCAAAAATCATTATATCCTCCTAATGGATATACCATCAATTATTCTATAATTTTTTGTATTCGAATAAATAGAAACAAATTCTGGCATGCTTCATTCGGCAAACATACAATTAAAAATTGTTTTATTATGGCCGGATATCCGACACAATATGGCGGCGGCACGCTAGTACAATAAAGTGTCAAACTGTCAAATGATGACGTCATTTGCATTGGACAGTACACTGCGTTGTATTTCGGAACATACCCAATATGTACACTGTGGCAGTGTTGCCAGATGTCTTGAACCTTTTATCTGTATTAGACACTGCTAAAATCTGCATTAAATCTGTATGCTATTTAAACTTAAAATCTGTATAAAATCTGTATAATTTAATAAACCAAAATAGAATAATTGATCATCATCATCATCATTTTCTTTTTTGAAAAACAAGGAATAACTACTAACGTGATAAGCAGATAAGGTTTGATTATCGTTATTAACTAAAATTATTTTTTATAGAATAAGGGTGACAAACGAGCACACAGTCCACCGATGGTAAGTGGATGCTATGGCCCATAGACATCTACATTTATCCTCGCTTAAGAATTAAAACGCAGATACGTTGCCACGCCTGAGGACCAAGAGGGGATGCCTCATTTCCAGTAAAAAGGGTCTCCGGATTTCTACGTTCACCATACGAAACACAGCAGCATTAAGCTGGTATTTTACGCTGGTATTCTGTTGAGCGTGGTCCTTCCCCGGTCGAGCGTCAGCTATTATAGTTGCAGTGCTGCAACCAATAATATAACTGCAACGTGGCTCTACCACGTATAAAATATACACTATACACTAAATTTTTTATATAGCAAAATTGAAAACATTAATTTAAGCAAACAACATATTAAAACTCAAATATTTGCCAAATGAACATATGATTACTTTATTATTTTCAGTCATACATATTTTATACACAGGGCGTTAGTGTAAACACCGTTATCCTTGAAACCAGTGGTTTGGTTTCACTTATAGAACGTAAATTCAATGAAATATAACAACATTTTTTTAGTAATATCTCAATTTTTCCTTAATTCCTCAATTTTGCCTGTCCTAAGCCAGGGTGAAAGTATGAAGGAAAAGTTACATCACAGGTTATGTTTACCTATTGTGTTTTTATTGGAATATAGTGTAGATAGCTAGCGCGGGCGGTGATCTTTACAGTGATTACGTCATCCGGGCGCATAGGGTATCCATGAATTTACGGACGGTTTCGGACAGAAACTTTTTAAATTTTATGAAAGAAAATAGCGTTTTCTTATTTAAATTCGGATAAATATTTTTATATTAAAGCCAACTACCTATGGTTTTAGTGACAACGGTGTTTACACTTACACCTTGTATACATATTTTGTAATACACTTGTAATTCTGCCATACTAACTAATTACGTTGTGAAAAAATAAAAATAACCATAAAGAATAGAATCATGAATGTGTGTAACGCGGTATCTAGTCACTTATTTTGCTTCATTCTATTTTAAGTTGAATATTATCGTAATCCAATCAATAGAGTTAGAAAACTCTGTATAAAAATCTGTACCCAGTGCTAATCTGTATCACACACCGAAAATCTGTATAAATACGGGGAAATCTGTATATAAGGCAACACTGCTCTGTGGTATATAATTTACCCTTCCCATTCCATCATAGAGTAGTGGGTATAGTATTATGCAGAAATCTTCCATCCAATTGGAAAATCAAACGTCACCTTTTTTTATTTAACAGGCTTTACGGCTCTGGGTTCTAGCCCTTCTGAGCCTATCATTTCTTTCGGAATCTTCATTTTTATATACTTTTTCTTCACAATATGCTGATCCGTCACATTGTGAAGTTTTTGGGAGATTTTGACGACGATTCAACCCAACAGATAGTTGGTGACGACAGCCACTTAAGTTCAGAAGGCGCCCAAGCGATCAAAATAACTTGAGGTTTATATCAATATCAAAGCACTTGTTTTGTCGTTTTCTCTAATAGTTCTCACGCAAAGACACATAATTCACAAAATTGCATCACTATCATGAATCAAAATCCACTTCAAACCATTATTCAAGCGAAAAAACAGGAGCTAAAATCCGTCGACGACCAAGTTCCCGACAAAACTCCAACGTCACCTTTCTTTTTTTTAACTGGCTTTACGGCTTTGGGTTCTAGCCTTGCTGAGCCTAGTCCAAGGTCACCTTTGTAGACTCCATGGCGGTTAGAATATTACGCTAAGGTTAATAACGCTAAGTCTCAATAAATTATGTTTCTTATAATTTGAATTATTATAAATATAAATTATTACAAATATAAATTACTAATTATTATTGATTTATTATTATTATTATTATTTTATAATATTTAACCATTTTAATGTTTCTTTTTGTCAATAATTAAAAAATTAATTTGCAGATACTACTTACCGATGGCAGAGCGGCTATAAATTCTACAAATTTTCAGGGAGAGGCGGATTATGTTTTAGCACATGGAGGTTAGAGAACAGGTAGTATTTATAGCGGCGCTGCCGTCGGTGAGTAGTGGCTGCGAAGTCTAAAAGCCGCTAATACGTGTGTGTGGCTAACACGTACCAGTATGGACTCGTACGTACAAGCCACAGCACGCATATAACGATACTTACTAAGTCAGGAAGATCGGGCTGAGTTGAATACGCCCACCGTCGCTCTCCGCAATCACCGTTGTTTGAAACTTTGTACACTTTTAATAAAATTTTGCTGGCAGTCTTTTTTCATTTTATTTTCTTTTTGTAAAAAAAATTATAAATGCGTTTGTTCTAGAAAATTAGCTTTTTATTAATAGATTATATTACTATATCTATGTACTTCCAGATATAAGAAGAAGAGATCCGTAGTTGAAAATGTATCGGAACCCGGTGTCTCCAGTTGGCCCCTACCACGCGCCAAATAGTACATGCAGATCAGTAAAAGCAATAGATACGCAGTCGCGCACACACTCGCATTTTATAAATCAGAACGTACTATACAATCAATTATACACCATATCTCTAAAACCAAAGCGTGCATTTACCATTCACCGTACTACTTACTCACACAAAAATATCGGTCACTATCGTTGTGCTGTAAAAAAGCCATTTATTTTACATGTACGTTAGCGATTGACTAACTTGAAAAGTTATCGATTATTTAATTTATATCAAAATTGTACTAAATTTTTTTAATAAAATTATAATAAAAATAAACAATATATAGGAAAAAATATAATTATTAAGTACCTAAACTAAAAAGTATAAACAATAAAATATTATTATCATTGACGAGACAAGCTGTTTTTATGATAATTTTCAAAATAAAACTGACAAAATACGACGATCAATACTAGTTTTTGTAGGGAACCAGTTAGGTGGCCTTCCTGTGACATAACTCCATTCCTTTTTTAAATAAGCATCATTTGGGAAGCTGATTGGTACGATAATAACCTATTTATTATTTTCATGTATCCTAAGCTACTTCTAAACCTCACCATATACTAAGCAGGTTTTGCCTGGCAAGCTCTGGGTATAAAAACTCCTGGTTAATGAAAATATTATTAAATATGTGAAAACAAATACACACCATTATACTATACTCACCACTCATGCCCAAATAAATAGCAAGAAAAAGTATGAAAATCTCTCGAGGTTTAGGCATAATATACGATAGTTCAAACCTAAGAACACTCCATCGATTATTAACCTGAAATTTAATCAACTTACTTTACGACCGTTGGTTACGCAATCAGCGTAGTAGTTGCTGTAAAATAATCAAAATAAATAAATCAATTTATATCACATCGGTCTTCCTATCGGGATGAAACGGTTGACAAATTGAAGAATAAACTATAATAACAATTCGCCAATCCACATTATTGTCGATAGTGGATCTGTACACGCACATTACTAGCTCGTCGCAAGACACAGCGGCCGTACTACGCAATATATCTGCATAAATAAAGCATCGTTTTGTGATATTTAGATTGCTTGTTCAGTCACTTGTCGTCATACTTAGGTAGTGGTTATGGAGCAATGTATTTACTACAAAAATATTACAGCGGCTGTGATATTTTAAAACAAAAATAACGTAGTAAGAGCAATAAATATTTTATGATTTGTTGTTTAACATGATTTTAAAGATAAATATAACGAAATACTTGTACTTAGGTATGGTAATTGATTCTGGTTGGGCGGCGGGCCTTAAGGTTGCCGAGTCACAATTCCCCGGTCGAGCCTTGACCCTACTACGCGAGATGTTATACTAGATGGACTGTATA